GGATTTTGTAATGTTTCAATATATATTTTAATCCATAAACAACCAAATTGAAGCCTTTAGATTATCTCATTTCTCATGTTTCACTTGTTTTACTCAATCTCCATAGGGTTCTATAGGCCCCTCTAGTGGCTGTAACCATAAAATGCAATTTTATCTTAAAAATATCCAGAATAAAAGGTAAATATGATAAAAAAAATCACCAAAAAATAATAGAAAAACCTACATAAAAAATTAGAAAAAAAAATATATAAAAATGTTCCAATATAAGCTTTCTTGACCAAAAATAAAATTAGTGTCATTTTTGGCCTTCGGGTCATTTTGACCCACGAGGGACACTTTTGTTATAGGTTCGGGAGGGACGGATGAGGGTTAAACACTTTACAACTACACAGCCTCAGCATGATTATGATCACTATTTTGTTTTACTAAGAGTTTCATATTGAATCTAGGGGGTAATCTATTAGACTGTGGCTGTACCGAACTCAATGGCTCTGGCCCGAGCAGATATAAACAAAACGCTATTGGCTATTTTAAAAAGGGGGCGGGGCTGCTCGATATGTCCGGGGCTGCTCTTCCTGTTTCAGTTGAAATTATGTCACCACATAGAATAATGCTGGGTGTTTCAAGGACCTTTAATTTTGAGACCCCGCCCTTCCCCCGTCTAATAACCGCTTCTCATGCGGAGATGTGTTGATGTGTGCGCGCATCTGTGTGGAAGCCTACAGTTTCCGAAATGAGGAGGGAATATTACTGTTACTGTATTTATTAGTTTTCTGTTTCAGGTATGATTCTGTAGCCATGTCCATATGTCCATCAGTTTACACTGTAATGACGCTTGCAAACTCGCGCTGTGCTGCGAATCGGTCTGTTTTAAAACTAAAAGATGGAAAACAGACGTTTTCTCATGCTGAGAGCAGATGTATCTCAAGCAGATGTATGTGTGTGAGAAAATATCATATATGGTGTTAACAAAATAGATGGCACAGCGTATGATAAGAGCTCCTATTCTCTGTTTTTATTTGAGCTCCATTAGATGAGGCATGTTCGGGACATTCTCTTGCCGTTTACTGTTGCTGTCAGGAACTATTTTTTAGTGGAAGGACAGCATTTAACGAAATTGCTTCAAAAAAGTAACATTTCAATACATACATTTTTGGTTTTAATATTTTTTTTATTGTGTGGTAACCGTTTTATAAAAGCAATAAGGTACTCGAGGCCGTGCAGTATCGTGAATAAATCACGGCTGAAGGGGATGCAGTGACTCCGCTTCGAGTCGTGCCTAACAACGCCCTTCAGCCGTGATTTATTCACGATACAAGCACGGCCTCGAGTACCTTATTGCTTACATAAAATATAAATAATAAAATGCATAATATGAAATAAAAAGGAGTATGTTTGAATGCGTGTATGTACCTCTCTGCTCATGGCCAGCGCCAGCTGCAGCTGCAGCTCTTCTTCTCCGCTCGTCTGCGGTCGAGTTTGCTCCAGATCAGACGCTCGGGGAGACGAGGAGGACGCTGATGGACAGACAGATCATTCATCTTTATATATGTGTGTGATACATATGATTGTTGTTGCTCTGAGGGGCTCTAATACCATCATAATCCATCATCATCATCATCATCATCTGACTTCAGATTTGATTATACTGTCAGTGTGTGTGTGTGTGTGTGTGTGTGTGTGTGTGTGTGTGTGTGCCACGGCCTCATTAGACTACAAACACTCGAGCACATGGCAGCAGCAGCTGTGATGAGACTCATCAGTGCACAGAAAACCACTAATCGCATCGCTTTATTATTAGCTATGATGAATATGGGGATATCACTTTCAGACAAATAATAACTGTAATAAACAGTCTGGGAGTGACATCCTAAACATTTTTACACACACACACACACACATATATATATAACAGTTTTCTGTTTTATTGCTATTTTTTATTTTAGAATTCTATGTCTTATTTATTTATTTGTTTGTTTGTTTGTGTGTGTGTGTGTGTGTGTGTGTGTGTGTGTGCCACGGCCTCATTAGACTACAAACACTCGAGCACATGGCAGCAGCAGCTGTGATGAGACTCATCAGTGCACAGAAAACCACTAATCGCATCGCTTTATTATTAGCTATGATGAATATGGGGATATCACTTTCAGACAAATAATAACTGTAATAAACAGTCTGGGAGTGACATCCTAAACATTTTTACACACACACACACACACATATATATATAACAGTTTTCTGTTTTATTGCTATTTTTTATTTTAGAATTCTATGTCTTATTTATTTATTTGTTTGTTTGTTTGTTTACATTTATTTATGTTCTCTGATGTGGTCATATATATTTTATTTATAGATTACATTTAAGACATGCCCCTTAAATAGCTTAAATGTAATTTAATTCAATTAAATACAGTTAATAAAGCAATTGATTAAATGAATTAGCAGTACTTTCTTAGGTAAGTGTACTGTAATTACAGGTAAGCGCACATATCGTAAAACAAAATGCAACCATTTTCTTTTTTTGTTCAGTGTTGGTTGCAAAATCAATTACATAATTCAGTATCATCACTATAATTTAGTTAAAATATTACATTCGTTGCTAAATTAAAAAAATAACATTTTCTACAGCAAAACGAAATCTTATTTTTGTACCAGATTGTTTGAGGTTTTTTTTATCTATCAGATCCCTTTTTAATGTCATTGCTGTAAGGCACATGTGTTAAAAACACAACCTGATAAACACAACCTGAAAGTGAAAGCTCATCAGTTCTGGGCTAGTAGTAATATGAATGAGAGTGTTACAGTTGAAGGAGGTGGGCGATCCTCTGGACTCCTCTCCGTACAGAGCGTTCATGCTGGGCTGGCTGCTGCGTCTGCTGGGGTACGCCGTCATCCTCTCTTTGGTCTTGAGCGCCTGCGCCCGCTCCTGCCTCAGACGCTCCTCGTCCCGCAGCAGAGCCACCAGCTGCTTGGCTTTCTCGCGCACGTTCACGCCCTGGTCGCGCCCGTCCCGGTCCACGTACTGGAAGTCCCGCAGCGTCTGGATGGTGAAGGCGTTCTCGCGGCACTGCTGGGCCACGCGCTCCGAGCCTGTCTTAGCCAGATAGTCCAGCAGCGTCAGCGCCTGAGCACAGACACACCGACGATTACTGATCACTAACACCAGAGCACAGCTTCTCAGAGCTTCTTCAGAGACTCTGCTGTCCAGAAAAATAGGTTAGGCTTACAGCTTCCTCTGGTAGATCTGCTGTAAAACCAGGAGTTTACAAGAAACTAAAATAACTTAAATAATTACATTTCAGGAATCCAATTTTAAGTGCTGAATGTTTTTCAGGGTTTTGACCAATGAATTTACACTTTTTTTCTATTCGTTTGGTTTACTAGATTAAGGTTAAGAAATTCTTTTTTTTAAAACTCAGTTTCTACTAGATAAAAAAAAGGTTGGAGGTTGGCATAACTGAAAAGCTGCATATTATGTATAAAACATTTTTAAAATGTAAATCATATTTTTTATTAAAACTAACATTTTAATTTTCATAAAAATTAACATTTTATAAATTTTTCCCAGGTATAGAGTTCTAAAAAAAAAAATTAATTAGGCTAAAAACTAACTAATCCCTAATTTTACACACACACAAAAAAAAAAAAAAAATAATAAAAAATGAAAAATAAAACTTTAAAATTAGGCTAGAAATCCCTAATTAGAAATAAACTAGAAAAAAAAACACTTTGGTAAATTAGGCTAGAAATAACTTCTAGAAATCTCTACTTAGACTAGAAGTAAACTAGAAATCACACACATTTTCTTTTTTGAAAAATCAGGCTAGAAATAACAAAATCACAAATAAAAAAATAAAAAATAAATAATTATTTCAAAAAATTTAGAAATAAACTAAAAAATATATACTTTTTTAATTAGCCTTAAAATCGTTTGAAATCATTAATAAGACTAGAAATAAACTACAATTAAAAATAAAATAATTCAATAGTTTGAATAGAAAAAAAGCAATAAGCTAAAACTTACACTTTAAATTAGGCTAGAAATCAGTAATTGGAATAGAAACAAACTAGAAATAAAATAAAAATAACACTTCTTAAGCATCAGGCTAGAAATGGCTAATTAGACTAGAAAAAAAGGAAATAAACAAAAAAAATAATACTTAAAATTAGGCTAGAAATGGCTAATTAGACTAGAAAAAAAGGAAATAAACAAAAAAAATAATACTTAAAATTAGGCTAGAAATGGCTAATTAGACTAGAAAAAAAGGAAATAAACAAAAAAAATAATACTTAAAATTAGGCTAGAAATGGCTAATTAGACTAGAAAAAAAGGAAATAAACAAAAAAAATAATACTTAAAATTAGGCTAGAAATGGCTAATTAGACTAGAAAAAAAGGAAATAAACAAAAAAAATAATACTTAAAATTAGGCTAGAAATGGCTAATTAGACTAGAAAAAAAGGAAATAAACAAAAAAAATAATACTTTAAATTAGGCTAGAAATGGCTAATTAGACTAGAAAAACAGAAATAAACTAAAAACGATTTTTGTTAGGCTAGAAATCGCTAATTATAATAAAAACAAACTAGAAATAAAATAAACATAACACTTCTTGAAAATTAGGCTAGAAATCCCTAATTAGACTAAAAAAAGGAAATAAACGAAAAAAAATAATACTTTAAATTAGGCTAGAAATGACTAATTAGACTAGAAAAACAGAAATAAACTAAAAGCGATTTTTGTTAGGCTAGAAATCACTAATTAGAATAGAAAAAAACTAGAAATGAAATAAAAATAACACTTCTTGAAAATTAGGCTAGAAATCCCTAATTAGACTAGAAAAAAGAAACAAACTAAAAATAAAACTTTTTAGAATTAGGCTAGAAATCACTAATTAGAAAAAATTAGAACCTAGCCTAGAACTGAAGTGCAAAGGACAGAAAGAGCTGCTGAGGGGAATCTGTTGATTAGCTGATGTTCAGTGGGCCGCATCCGCTCACCTTGTAGACGTGTCTCCAGTTCTTGCCGTGGTCGTTGAGGCGCTTCCACACCATGGCCATGACCTCGCTGAAGGCCACCACGCTGAAGGTCAGCTCGGCGATCTCCGACATCAGCGAGCTGGACGGGCCCCAGGGGTCGTTAGAGGTCGCCTCGCGCACCTTGATCTCCGCGTCCGAGTAGTTGTGCACGAGGTTCTTCACCTGCCGCCGCAGGGCCGAGGTCGTCATGGCGACAGCGAGAGTGTGAGCGAGGGGGCGGATCCCAGACGGTCAGAGCTGAGAGACACACACACACATTTACACCGCAAACACTGCTAATACATGCAGGATTTTTAAATGTTTTTAAATAAGTCTCTTCTGCTCACAAAGGCTGCATTTATTTGATTAAAAATACAGAAAAAAATGTAAAGTTGTTAAATATTATTACAATTTAAAATAACAGTTTTCTATGTGAATATCTGTTAAAACGTAATTTAATTCTGTGATCAAAGCTGAATTTTCAGCATCATTACTCTAGTCTTCAGTGTCACATGATCTTCAGAAATCACTCTAATATTCTGATTTGAGCTCAAGAAACATTTCTGATTGTTATCAATGTTGCTGCTGAATATTTTTGCGGAAACTGTGATGCATGTTATTTTTCAGGATTCACAGATGAATAGAAAGTTCAAAAGAACAGCGTTTATTTGAAATAAAAATCTTTTGTGACATTATAAATGACTTTACTGGCACTTTTGATCAATTTAATGCGTCCTTCAAGAATGAAAGTAATTATTTTTAGAAGTGTCTTCTTTTATTTTTAGAAGTATTTAAGAAGAAAACACAACATGAAATGTGTAATAATTATGTCTAAATGGCAATGTTTTATGTGTATACATGACAAAATTACTAAAACTTCAACTATATAAAAATAAATGCTATTTCGAAAAATGTATAACTACTATAGAAATAATAGTAAACTAACAGTGCTCAAAATATGCTAAAATCTTGTTTATTGTTAGTGTATTAATAAAGTGTGATTTCTCCATTAACAATGAACAAAAAAGAAATAAAACACATATTAAATAGATCAGATTTTTATTATTATTATTATTTTTTTTTTACAAATAGGACGTGCTTTTAGATATTCAGTCTTATAAAATGTGTTTCCTTGTATAGTCCATGGTCATGTATGAATGACACTGAACAGGTCAAAGGTCATTTACCAAACATGTTGTTTGCTGTAGTTTTTGTCATCTGTAGAGGGTTAATGCGCTTTTGAACACATAGACAGGCCCAGTTCTAATTAAAAATGCCCCCCTCCCTCTTCGTTTGCAGCGAGAGGAGCGCGATCACCATTTTCAGCATCATCAATAATTCAGCTCGGCTCTCCAGTTAGCACTTATGTAAAAAAAACACGGCCGCAGGAAGTGGGTCGGCGGGGAGAGAGACGAGCGTTATCTGTCCGTCAGACTCCAAAAACAGAGCCCGAATTTACCTGAGCACCCAAACATCCTGCAGACTGCATCTGCGTTCCTGCGCTCGCAACCTCAAGGTGACGGGTTCGATCCCCAATGATTAATGCATCTGAAATGTAGGGCCCTATGATTTCTGCGATGCACGGAATCACTGCCATCTCACTAAATGAGGACATAAATACATCTACAACATCTCCAGAACTGTTCTGAGCGTATTGAGCATTTACGGTTTCATTTGAGAGAAACTATATCATATACACTCAGAAACTTAAAAGGTATTCACGGCAACCCGTCAAAATAAAAGTTTGGTTTAACTTGAAGACATTGTGCCAGAAATATATTAGCCTAACTTTCTAGTAGAATGTACTACTACTAAAATTATTAAAACGTTATTTTTTAAGGAATAATCAAACAATCAAAACATTTCTTCCATTTTATTTTTAATAGTAAATGCCCGTTGTTTGGCAACATAATTAAGTTTGTTTATTTTTTCTGATAACCAGAAAAATGTAAATACATGACACATCATTTCTGAGAAAAAAAAAATCATAAGGCTATTGTAAGAATCAATTTGAATAAATTAAGTTGTTTTTATGGATTCAAATAATTAGCATGTTAAAACACAGAATTTGGTAACAATAAAACATATGGTGAGAAAAAAAAAAAATTTCATAGGACCCTAATCATGTCATTTTTGTTAAACTTTTAATAAACATTGATGTGAAATTGTATAAGTTTCATGTTTTTTAATCAATTAGACATGCTTTTTGATTAATAAAATTAAATTTAACCATTTAAAAAGGAGTCCAGAAAAATTTAAATGGAATTTGGAAAAAAAAAAAGGAATTTGGGAAAAAATAAAAATGATTTCATAGGGCCCTAGAAATGCTGCTGAAAGCATCTGCTAAATGAATAAATCTTTGACTCAGACGCGAGTCACCAACGCCACCAATGAATCGACTCACGCTGTTACCCATCAGCCCACAGATCAGCTGTGAATCACAGCGGCACGTTTGAACCCTGAGCTCTGACTCACCGCGTCTGCTTCATTCAGAAAACACTGGAGTCCGAAGGGTTAACTGAGCTTCATGCTGTGCGTTTGCTGTTAATCACACTTCACAGCAGCAGCGCAGCTGGGAAACATCTCACTACTTCATTCACTAGAGGCCATCAAACAAACGTGACTCGACTGAATGTTTATAGGACAGGTATACATCCAACAACCACTTTAAAACACAGGTGATAACGAGAAAACCACAGGATGAATCAAAGCAGCTTTTCCACAAACTGAAGTGAATGCTAATCAGTGTTGTGGAAAGTTACTTTCTAAAGTAATGCATTACAATATTGTTTTACTCCTTTAAAAAGTAACTAATTGTGTTCCTTAGCTACTGGAACGCATTACGTTACTTTTGCATAACAAAGAAACTGGTGTCAGTTGTTTGAAAAAAGTAAGTCAGATATTTTGTAAATGTAAAAGTAATGTGTTACTTTACTAGTTACTTGAAAAATCAGTAATCTGATTACGTATCTCAGGTTAATTGTAATGCGTTACCCCCAACACTGATGCTAATCTAATATGCACAGACAGTGTCATACACACAAAACACCATCATGACACTAAAATAATGTGATAAACATTCATCTGACAACATAAGATGTAACATAATACCCTAATGTACATAACCCATAACTACGGTGAAGTATTGTTATTTCAATGAAAAACCATCAAATGTGAAGTCAAGTGTCAGACAAAGAGTTCTGGAAATGTCAGTTACAGTTTTTCACTGTAGATAATAAGATGATTTATTATTTTTCACTTCCAAGCACTGTAAATGTAACAGTATTTTACTGTAACATTGATTAAATGAAATGCCCCATTGGATCTATTGCAGTTTTTCACCATATACAGTAAGAGAACTGTAGCAAGCTTTTATCATTCAAATCACAATATTTGTTTTAGTGTAGTGTCAGCTGATCTGAATGAACATCGATCTCTGCCCTTCACGCGGCTGCGCTCTTTGACTTTGTATTTCTGTGTGAGCGGCAAAACCTAATCCTACACGTCCTTCACAGAGCCTCTCTAAAGCCAGCGCTGTGAAGAGCTCATGGTGCTCCTCAGAGATCATCTCCTTTCATTTATCTACAAGAGATTTGTTCTGCGTCGGCCCAAAACCTGCTCATCTTGAACCAGGAGCCGCTAACATCAGCACTTTCCTTATCACTTTTTCAAAACTAGACCAACACTACAAAAGTAGATCACTCTCGTTAGGATTAATGAAGATGGGCTCCGGTGTTAAAGAAATACAACTAGGGATGTAACGATTCACTCAAGTCACGATTCAATTCGATTCACGATTTTAACAAAATGAGATTTAGGACAAATTATAAATTAAATGTGTCCTTTTATTATTGCTTGGACAAAATGCTGCACATGTTTTTGTGAAATTTAAATATAACACTATAATAATATACTAATTTAGCACTTGCATATCATTGCTCTTTTGTTGGTTTTGATTGCTTCTATTGTTCTCATTTGTAAGTCGCTTTGGATAAAATTGTCTGCTAAATAACCAAATTGTATGTAAATGTAAATAACAAAACTAAATTGAAATTTTAAAACAAGCCCCAAATCAAATAAATA